TCCAGGAGGCCCCAAGAGGTCCCCAGGATGCCCCAAGAGGCCCCCCAGAGGCCCCAAGAGGCCCCCAAGAGACCCCCAGGAGGCTCCCAACAGGCACCCCAATAGTGCCCCAAATAGGCAAACATCGTCGATTTCCGATAGGAAATTCATATTTTGGCGTGTTCGCCTTTTGGGCTTCCACTGCGTCCAAGACGGCCCAAGAGGCACCCAAGCTGGTCGAGGATGCCCCCAAGAGGGCCCCAAGACGGCCCACGAGGGGGTCAAGGCGGCCCACGAGACGCTTAAACCGCTCAACAACGCCCCAAGTCGGCGCCCAAGACGGATTCGAGGAACCGAAAATGCAAGCCATTTGGCCCAAGAGGGCCCCAGGAGACTCCAAGAGGCTCCAAGAAGCGCCCAAGAAGCTCCAGGAGGTCCCCAAGAGACCCGCAAAAACACAAAAAGAGTCCCCGAACACGGCCCAAGGGGCACTCCAATAGAGCCCCATTATGCAAACATCGTCGATGTCCTATGAGAAAACTGCTATGTTTGGCGTGTTCGCCTTTTGGGCTTCCACTGCGTCCAAGACGGCCCAAGAGGCACCCAAGCTGGTCGAGGATGCCCCGAAGAGGGCTCCAAGACGGCCCACTAAGGGGCCAAGACGGCCCCAGAGGCGCCCAAACCGCCCAAGAACGCCCCGAGTCGGCTCCCAAGACGGGGAGGAGGAATCGAGGATTCGAGCGGTTTGGCCCAAGAGGCCCCCAGGAGACCCCTAGAGGCTCCAAGAAGCGCCCACTTCCCAAGAGGCCCCCATGAGACCCGAACAAACACCAACAGAGGCCCCGAAGACGCCCCAAGAGGCACCCCAGTAGAGGCGTCCTGGGACGGCCCGAAGAAGCCAAAATCGTAGACTCTCATCGTTTTCTTTTTCAATGTTTTTGGCTTCTCGCGTTTTCGAGCTTCCAACGGTCTAAGAGCGCCGACGAGGCTCCCAAGACCGCCCCAAGACCACCCAAGAGACCCTCAGGGCGGCCCCAAGACGGGCCAAGAAGGCTCCAAGACTTCCGAAGAGGCGCCCAGGACAGCCCCAGACCACCCCAGAACAGGCCCAAGATGGGGCCAAGAGCGGGAGCAGGATGCTTCCAGAGACCTCCGAAAGGCTTCCGGGACCTCCCAGAGGCCCCCAACACACCCCCGATTCTTGAGAGGCACCAGAAAGACCCCGACGAGGCTCCAAGGACAGCCCAAGAGAACTGCGAGAGCTGTCCCGAGAGAGCACAAAGACGGTCAAATCGTTGATGCCCCGTGGTTTTTCTAATGTTTTTCGCCTCGAAGATCGAGGATTTTGAGGAAAAAGGAAAATTCCCAGAATCCCCCTTTTTTTCAAAGTGGGACTCCTACTCGGGGGTCCTACACATCCCCTGACATCTGGCCGGTGCCGCGCCTCCCAGCTTCCCAGGGGGAGACCCCAAGTCGCCGAAGGACAGCGCATGACGACCCCACGGAGCCCCCAGAACGTAAAGAACGGCCCAACACGCTCCCGCGCAGCCCGCAACACCCTTCCGACGGCTCTCCAGGCCTCCAGGAGGCCTCCAGAACCCCCAGGGGGTCCGGAAGATCCCACACCCCTGAGGGGCCCGGCTAACAAAACCCGCGAGGCACAAACAAAAAACAGCGCCGAACAGCGCCGAGGAATTGGAAAAACATGGAAATCCTACAATTCCTTTTTTTGTTTCAAGTTTGGCCCCCGGTCTACTCTTGCACAACAGACCACAATTCAGACCCCCCTCACCTCCAAAAAAAGAACCCAGGAAGCCTTTGAGAGCCCCAAAACGTTGAATATCTAAAGGAAGTTCATGATTTCTGCGTTTCCGCGTTTCCCCTTTACACGATTCCGAGGCTTGCGCAGGGCCTCCAAGGGAGTCCCTGGACGCAAGAAGCGACCACAATGAGATGACATGAGTTAGCCTATCAAGCCTAGCTAGAACTTGAGCGCGCGCAAAGCGCGCGCGATGGTTCTAGTATGTATGTATGTGTGTACATATATTTATATATATAATCGTACACTCCTCTCCGCGGTTGTAGAACTCAGACGCGATCAATTGAAGCCGTCCCGCCCCGCACGCGATGTGTTTGGCCGTTTTCTCGACGTCACGGTCCAACAGCACAATGGTTTTTCAGAGCATGTTGACAGAACATCTTCAACACACACAATGTGTTCAATGATTTTGGACGTCGCTCTTAGAAAGTATCGGTTTTGCGCGAGACATCCCTCCAAGCTTGAATCCCGACGTAGTCAACGTTGCCCGCAGATCTTTCAACGACAGGTTCGCTCGATTGTCTTCTCAACGACAATCGCAAGGTGTGGAACACCTTCTTGTGCCGCACACTTTCCTGAGATGCTTACGCTCTGCAGTCCTCTATGTAGAAGCATGAGCACGCATGTGCCACTTCCACACGCCTCTCTCTCCCTCTCTCTCTCTCTATATATATATTTTTGGTTAGGTTAGGTTTGCCGCCGATTTTCGCTGCACGCCCGGGTGCCAGGGGGTGCCCGGATGTGCCCAGGGGTGCCCGGAGGTGCCCCGGGGTGCCTGGGTGCTCTATCGCCCTACAGCCCTACAGCCCTATAGCTCTATATCCTTATAGACCTATAAACCTATAGCTCTATAGCCCTATAGCCCTAATTAGCCCTATAGCCCTATAGTCCTTATGCCCTATAACCCAATCGCCCCATAGCCCTATAACCCTAGAGCCCTTATGGGCCTATGGTCCTATAGGCTTATTGTCTTGTAGCCCTATAGCCCTATGTTCCTATAGCCCTATAGCCCTATAGTCCTATAGCCCTAGCCCTACGGTCCTATAACCGTACAGCCACATAGCCCTACAGCCCTAGAATTATTATGATTGGGTTTTCCCGGTGTTATATATATATATATATATATCCATAAATAAGTTATGCCCAACGCCCGGAGGAAGTACAGCTCAGATGCGTTTTCTTAGCTTTCCTTTCGAGTTGTTGTTGTCGTTTCGCTAGGGACGCCCTCATCCTTCTGAACATCGGTGCCCCCCCCCCGCGCACAGATCGCGACGTCAGGGTCCAACAGCACAGCCCTTTTCAACATTTTACCATAACGCCTTCAACAACACATTGGGACTTAGTGATTTGGAGCCCGATTCTTAGAACATTGCCGTTTTGCTTGAGACTTCCACCAACAAGCGAGCAGAGGACGCCATGATGAGACAGTTTGGGATATCTTGAGCCATCTTGGAGGTCATGTTGGGCTCTCCCAGGCGCTCTTGGAGTCATCTGAATCAGTGCCCCCCCCCCAAGAGGCCAACATGTGGCTAAAACCTTCGTACAGTCAATGATTTGGCATTCTCGCCGAGGCATCTTGGAGCATCTTGGGTGCCCTTGGGGGGTCTCTTGGGGCCTCTTGGGAGTATCTTGGGGACCTCCTGGGGGCCTCTTGTGGGCCTCTTGGGGCCATCTTGGGGCCATCTTGGGACCTCGTGGGGCCTCCTGGGCGCTTCTTGGGGCCATCTTGGAGGAGGTCGATCAAACAAGAGGGGAGCATGAATTAGCGTCCCCCCCCCAGAAGGCCAAAATGGGGCCAACACCCTAGTAAAACAATGATGTTGGCTTCCTCGCCGAGGCAGTTTTCTAGGACGCTCCGACGACTCGCGAAACCCTTTGTCCAGGTCCATGGGGAGGGGGCAGGGGGATGGGTAACCCCTCCCCCAAGGGGAAGAAGGAGGGGTGGAAGAGGAAACTCCCTAAAACACCGACGCCCAGAGGGCTGGTGGGATTGGATGGATGGATGAGGGAGTAGGGAGAAGGAGGATGAATAGGATGAGGAGGAGGAGGAGGAGGCGGAGGTGGAGGAGGAGGATGAGAAGGGATAGGAGGAGGACGGAAGAGGAGGAGAGCAAGCAAAAGGGCCAGAGGTCTCTTGGATGTTTCTCGGAGCCTCTTGGAGTATCTCTTGGGCGTCTTGGGACGTCTCGGGGGTCTCTTGGCGGTCATGGGGGGGCTCTTCGGCGTCTTGGGTGCCTCGGATGAGCCCCTTGGGGCCGCGTGGGATCCCGTTGGGGCCTCCTTGGGGCCTCTTGTGGGCCTCTTGGGGCCATCTTGGGGCCATCTTGGGACCTCTTGGGGCCTCCTGTGCGCTTCTTGGGGCCATCTTGGAGGAGATCGATCAAACAAAAGGGGAGCATTAATTAGGCCCCCCCCTCAGGAGGCCCAAATGGGGCCAACACCCTAGTCCATTAATGATTTTGGCTTCCTCGCCGAGTCCGTTTTGGACGCTCCGACGACTCGCGAAACCCCTTGTCCAGGTCAATGGGGAGGGGGTAGGCGGAGGGGTAAACCCCTCCCCGAAGGGGAAGAAGGAGGGGTGGAAGAGGAAACTCCCTAAAGCACCGACGCCCAGAGAACTGGTGGGATTGAACGTTTTTTTTGCCTGAGACATCCTCCCAAAATCGAGACCCGACGTACAACACTCACACACACACACGCAGAATACACACGCACACATATACAGAGCACACACAGACACCACGCACAAGTCACCACACACACAACTTATACAGAACGCAGACAACATCGACGGCACACATAACACGCAGAGATAATTCACAAGCGCACAACACGCATCACGCACAACACCCAACCAACGCGACACATACGCCACACACAATACACCCACATAATTCGCTCATAGCTCACACAACACACAACACACAACTCACGCTCACAACACACAGAACACACACACACACGCACAGTACACACTACACACATCCTGCACACTTTTTTATGCGTCTGGCCACGCACGTGCCACTTGAATAGAACTGATGAACCTGGCGCGCGCCTGGCAGCGTATAGTTTGCAGAAGTGGTGACATGTGTCTCTTGAATCCTGAGGCTTTCCTTGGTTTCCTCCTCCATGTCGAGGACCAATTGACCCCTCTGTGCATAAAAGCTTTCTTTCCACCAGATTGCATTGCACCGCTCTAGAGGCGCCGTTGTTCACTGCGCCGGACCTACTCGTCTTGACGAGGATCTTGGGCCAGGGGTGGCATGCCAACCTGTGTGTCTGTCTGTCTCTGTTTTGTCTCTCTCTCTCTCCTCTCCCTCCCTTTTTGTTCTCTCCATCTCTCTTGTGTTCGGTTATTTCTCTGTCTCTCTCTTTATGTTTCTTCTCTCTCTCTCTCTCTCTACTTGTTTTTTTGTTGTCTCTCTCTCTCTCTCACTCCCACAGGTCCTCTGTTCCTCTGTAGATGTTTGTAGTTCTCTTTGTACATGGACATATGTATGATTGGTCATTGTTTTCTTCTCTCTATCTCTCTCTCTCTCTCTCTCTGCAAACGCGCACGTATCACACACTATTCTTTCCCTCACGCCCCTTCCTCCCCTTCCATCTCCTCACCCTGCACCTCTCAGTCTGCCCCAGTACCTCTACCCCCCTCCTCCAGACCCATCTGCCGCCTTTCTCTGGCGTGCGCGCGAAATGTGGGACGAGCGGGCTCAGCTTCACAGGGCACGGTTCTTTCGGTGTAGGATGCCACTTGCGTTGGTCGAGGAGGATGTGTGATTCCCCAGTCGGAGCTTCACGGACCCCCCGTCGGGGCACCGCATCTTCTGTGGAGAGTGCCTGCATAGGGCTGGGCAGCAGACGTATTTCCTGCTTCCGCTCGGGACCTCGGATCGGCCTCCTCCGACGTCTCCCGTGCCCATGCGAGAGACGTCTCTTCTCCTCGCACGGTCGATGCCGTCATGCCCCGCCAGCACTGGCACGGTACACCGCGGCACGAGCGCCTCCCTTGCGAGCACGCAGGTGGTGTGGTCGGCGGACCTCCGGTCTCCTGCTGCCGCTCCCGCTCCTCTCGTTCTCCCTGCTCAGCGCTCCGGTGGTGATAATGGTGCTGCTGTTTGACGATGCTGCTGTTGACGATGCTGCTGCTGCTGCGGACGACGATGACGATGACGATGACGATGACGATGACGATGACGATGATGATGACGATGATGATGATGATGATGATGACGATGATGATGACGATGCTGATGATGATGATGATGGTGATGATGCTGATGATGATAATGATGATGATGACAATGATGCTGATGATGATGACGGTGATGGTGATGATGATGGTGGTGATGATGATGGTGATGATGATGGTGATGGTGGTGGTGGTGATGATGCTGGTAATGATGAGGATGCTGCTGCTGCTGGTGATGATGATTATGATGACGATGCTGATGACGATGATGATGATGGTGATGATGTTGATGATGGTACTGAAGATGGTGGTGATGCTGTTGAATATGCTGATGCTGATGATGACGATGACGACGACGATGATGACGACGATGATGGCGATGATGTTGTTTGCGAGGATGATGATGGTGAGGATTCTGATGATGACGATGCTGCTGCTGATGGTGGTAGTGTGGTAGTGGTGATGCTGACCGTGATGCTGATTATGCTGATGGTTATGCTGGTGGTGGTGATGCTGTTATGGTGGTGTTGACGACTGTGATGATGGTGTTGCTGCTGCTGATGTTAATGATGATGATATTGTTGATGATGTTGATGATGCTGATGACCTGGGAATCCTGGCCAGGTCGAGTTCCAGGACAGGTCTGAAGTTTGTTGGTCCGCGGTGCGCACTTGGGGGCACGGCGAGCAAAAGGGCGCTTTCAAGAGGCCCCCCTGTACTCTGGAAGTTGCGGGGCGTGAGTATCGCTCTTGTGGGGCAGGCCGCTTATGCGAAGCAACCCCTTGCATTTCAAGAAGAGCGCCCCTTCCCCCGTGCCCCCCCATCGGTGTGCGCCGCCAAGCCGCGAGGCGCCAACTGAGGCGCAGGCCGATGGCACGGGCCGCCCGCTGGAGCAGTTCTCCGAGCCATGCAGACGTGATCGATCGGACGGCAGACGGCGGCATGGCCAAGAGTCAAAGCAGGCCTTTCCGCTCACCTGGATGTGTGTCCACTTTGCCAGAGGAGGGAGGCCGGTCGGAGCTCGGGGGGCTCCGCTCATCGCTCTTGACTCTCGCTCGCTCTTCACCCCACTTCGAACTGCTCACTGCTCCTTGTCCACATCCTTCCGCCACCCCACCCCTCCCCTCTCCTCGCCCTGCTCCCCGCCCTTCCCACTGCTCCTCCTCGTCCCCCTCTTGTCAGCGCCCTCGCTCTGCGTGCGGCAGCAGGGAGCGGGGCCACAACGTAGCGCACCTCTTCCGTCAGGCGGACGAGGTGAGGAAGCAGGCGTCGGGGGGATCCCCCGTCGGAGGGGGGCGGCATTCGCCAATTCTGGGCCCAGGAGGGAGCAGGGAGGAGAAGGGCGAAGTTGAGGAGCAGGAGCAGGAGCAAGAGGAAGATGCAGACGGGAGCGAGGACGAACAGGAGGAGGAGGAGGGGGGGAGGGGGAAGATCACGAAGAGCAGGAGCGACAGGGGAGAGACACGAACGATATAGATATGTCAACGGCCTCTTGCACCGCGTGTTTACTTGTCCCCCGAACTGTGGCATAAAACCCATCGCCCTGCGATCTTATACTGGGGCGCGGAACTGAAATCTGCGAGGCGGATCGGCACGATAGTGAACGCAGGACAGTGATGTGGAGTTTGCCATACGCCTTGGGATACCATAGCCTCTGCTTTGACGTTACCAGGCTCATTGTTGTTGTCACATGATATGAACGCAAAAGACGTAGCATCCGCCTTCCTCTTATGATCGTCTTCCCGTTGTCGCATATTCAAGAGGACTGCACCTTTCTGCACCTTTCCGCCGACCCCCGCAAGGAGCAAAGCACGCATGGGATATTGGTGATGGCTTCAGTTCTGTGGGATTACCTCATGAAGGAGTGGTTGGTGTTTGTGTATGCCCTGTCTCTCCCCATATATCTAGATGTATGTATGTGTATGTATCTATGTGTATGCATACACATATATGTGTGTGTCGATCGACTCCCTTCATCAGTCTGGATTGTAGGTTCCAACACGCGGCTCGAGAGGTGCAAGTCCGAGGACGTATCAGGGGGATCGGGCCAGACCACCGAGGACATCTGAAGTCGCGAACCGTATCTTGGAATCCAGAACCATGAACATCTGTCAGGCAAACCGGGCCAGAGTACCGCAAGTCAGGGCATCTCGGAGCCTGGAGTTCCGAGGATGTCTCAGGCGAAAGGGGGCGAACCCGCGGAGGATAAAGAAAGTCGTAAACGTTGGAAGCCGTCGTTGGTAGCGCGTGATGTCTTGGAGTCATGTTTTGGGACGGCTCGGATGCTTTGGGGGGGTTCTGGGGACTCCGTTAGGGGATAAACCAGACCCCGTAGCGAGGACGGAAAGTCGGGAACACCCGCTCGACCAGCCGCGGGAGATCCCAGATGGCGTCTTGAGCGCCTTGGAGTGGATTGGCGCCTGTCCTGATTTCGTGGGTTGGGCAGCAGCACAGTTGCGACCTTGGCAGCGAATCGCGCGGCAGGTGTTCGGTGGTTCAGAGATGGGGTCCTGAGGGATGGGGTCCTAAGGATAGAAAGGGATCCAAGGGAGGAGTTGCGTTGTTTGAAGCACCTCGTCCTTAGGACCCCATCCCTCAGGACCCCATTTTTGAAGCACCGAGGTGGGGCCTGCACGATTTCAGTGGCGCGCGGGTCTGGTGCCCGATGTGGTGGCAGTGTTGCCGCCCCGATGCCACGGCTCTCTGCACCGTGAAACGCTCCGCGCTTCGGGGCATCAGGATGCGCAGCTGTGCGACGATATAGAACAAGGCTTAAGTCGGGCGTGTCGCTCTACAGGAGATCGAATAATAGTCCGGGGACGACGTTTCCATTACTTGTTGACTATTGTTGCATCTGTTTGGGTTTATTATGTTTCTCCCAAAATCCCCCTGTAGGGGGACATGCCCGACCTTAAACAAGGCTTTCCCATGTCGGCTGTCCTTCCCGACTCGTTACAATTCGAGGCATTGATGCCCAGGGTGCAACCCGCGGCGCAAGAGCTGGTGCGCGCGCTAGAGCCAGCCATGGAGCGGCGTGATGCCACTTAGCGGTCGCTCTTACGCAAAGGCCGTGCAAAGAGCCATGCACAGTGGAGGTCAGACAGCAGACGCTCGAGGAGGCCCGCGATTGGAAAATGGCGGGCCGTTGGCGCGTGAACATAGATAGCGACGGGTCCCTGTTATCGGATTTCCCCATTCACGAAGCGGCTCGTCGCGCAGGGTTCCCCTTGCACGCATCAGCGCGAGGGCTCGAGCTCTGCAGCGCGCCCGATCGATGGCTGCGCGGCGTCGGGCCCGAACCCTGCAGCGGCGGCGGTAGAGAAAACGCGCATTGCAGATTAGTTTGCGGACTGGCAAAACGAGGGCGCGCTGGTGATAGCCAGAGGGAACCGCAAGAAAGCTCACCGCCAATGTGCAGTGCGCCCCGAGTACTAGTGTTATGTAGTTTTTCCTGTTTGGAGCGATGGCGTCGGCTCAGGGGGCGGCTTCTGGCGCTCGCGCACGGAACCCTGCCTTTCGGGGCGCTCGCGGTCGTCTGGGGATATGGGCGGACCGCGGGCAGCGTCTGCCATTTGTTGCGACGCCTGTTCTCTGCGCAGCAGCTCGCGCGCCCCTGCGAGGCCGCGGAGCTGGCGCAGCTGTTTCAGCTGCGCGCGGCCGAACCAGTGTTGCCCGCAAGCACGCGCGCGAAACCAACGGCGTGGGCCGCCGCTGCGCGGGCTTCAGGTAAGCCGGGCGCGCGGCGCGACTGGGCTGCGCAAGCGCAGCTTGCCGCCCATCGCGGAGGCGAGGCAACCGACGGGTCCACTTGCGCGAGTTTCAGCTGCAGCGAAAAAAGAAATCACATTGGGGTGGTTCACCGCGGGGCGACTGCGCCTCGTGGGCGCCGCGACGCATTTCCGCGCAGATCTAGCGTGTTCTGCGCAGATTCCAGGCAGCGGTGCCCGTACCTGCGGCGCGTGAGCACTGCATTGGGCAGGGGGCGCGACAGCGACCCGCCCTGTGGAGCAGGGCTGCGCATGGCGCCAGTCGGCGCGGGCCTGGGGATCTGCCCCGGGCCCGTCGACAGCGCGCAGCAAGCGGCAGACGCGCAGCAGGCAGTCGCGCCGGTTCTCCTTGGAGCCAGCGGCGCAGCGAGCCCCAGCTGCAGGCGCGAAGCGGCGCTGGCGAAGCGCGGGTTCGCGACGCGAGAACAGTAGCCGGCCAGCGCGCGCGTTCGCAGCGCAGCGCGCACATCGCGAACGCGGCGCGGCGCGCGCGAGGGCTCGACGCCAGAGAAGCGCCGATGGTCGCGCCCGCGGGGCGACCATGGGCGCGGTCGGGCCGGTCTCAGTTCACGCGCGCGCATGCGTCGCTGCGCGCGCGTCGCGAACGTCGCGCTGCATGGCGCGCGCGCAAGGGCGCAGCGCCTGGGAAGTGCCAGCGGCCGCGCCTGCGGGCGACCGCGAGGGCCACGGGGGGAGTTCTGCCCGGCGGGTGGGGGGGGGGCGCATTTGATGGCGGGCCCTTCCGCGCAGGCGCGCGCCCCGTGGCTGAGCCCCATGTCGGGCCTCGGGCCCCCTTTCCCCCCCGCGCCCATGATGATGATGATGATGATGATGATGATGATGATGATGATGATGATGATGGTGATGGTGATGATGATGATGGTGATGATGATGGTGATGGTGATGGTGACGATGATGATGATGATGATTAAAAGGATGATGATGATGATGATGATGATGATGATGATGATAGTGATGATGAGGATGATGAGGATCATGCTGGTGATGATCCAGCTGTGGCGAAGTGTCCTGGCTCGCCTGTAGCCCTACCAAACAATGTTCTAAGAACCTTTTGTGGTGTCCACAAAATGTTCTTAGAACATTTCTGGCTGGGAGCGTTTTGGTTATCACATCGGGTTTATGTTCTAAGAACATTGCTTTTGTTATTAGAACATTTTGGGGGGTTCTAAAAACTTTTTGGTGGTATGACTATAGGAGTGCCTGGACGGTCGGTCTTTGCCCAAGATGATGATGATGATGATGATGATGATGATGTTGATGTGGATGATGCTGATGTTGATGATGCTGCTGATGCTGATGAGGATGATGCTGATGAAAATGACGATGATGACGATGATGCTGATGATGTTGATGATGATGATGATGATGATGGTGATGGTGATGGTGATGGTGATGGTGATGGTGATGGTGATGGTGATGGTGAAGGTGATGGTGATGGTGATGGTGATGATGATGCTGCTGCTGATGATGATGGTGACGATGGTGGTGATGATGGTGATGGTGGTGATGATGATGATGATGATGATGATGATGATGATGCTATGGTGATAACCTGGTGGTGGCGATTTTGAGTTATGATTTGGAGGAGGATGGAAAAGGAGGAGGAGGAGGAGGAGGGTGGAGGACGAGGAGGGGGAGGAGGAAGAGGAGGAGGAGGGTGGAGGATGAGGAGGAGGAGGAGTAGGAGGAGGGTGAGGAGGAGGAGGAGGAGGAGGAGGAAGGAGGAGGAGGAAGAGGAGGAGGGTGAGGGAGGAGGAGGAGGACGGGCAGGGGCAGGGGAACGGGGAGGGGAAGGGGAGGGGGAGGGGGAGGGGGATGAGGAGGAGGAGGAAGAGGAGGAGGAGGAAGAGACGGAGGAGGAGGCGGAGGAGGAGGAGGAGAGAGGAGAAGAGAGGAGGGTGGACTGTGATGGTGATGGTGGTGGTGATGATGAAGGTTCGGATGAGCGATGGGGTGATGAACGCCTGTGGTGATTGTGATGATGAAGATGAGACGCCGACCTCGCCGCGAGGCCGCGAGCTCGGCCGCCGCCGCCCAGCCGGCGGACGGCTCGCAGGCTGGCGGAGGTCGTCCTCGTCATCGTCATCGTCGTCTTCGACGTCGTTGCCGTCGCCGTCGCCGTCGCCGTCGCCGTCGCCGTGGCCGTCGTCTGCGTCGTCGTGGTCGTGGTCGTCGCCGTCGCCGTCGCTCGGCTCGAACGACAGGGGGATGAAGAAAGGGGGCGTTATGACACTCGTCATCGTCGTCGTCTTCGTCGTCGTTTTCGTCTTCGTCGCCGTCGTCGTCGTCGTCGTCTTCGTCGTCCTCGCCTTCGTCGCCCTCGCTCGGCTCGAGCGACGGGAGGATGGATTACGGGGGCGTTACGACACTTGCTGTATCGGCCCCGCCGTAGGGCGCCTTCCTCGATACACTGGTCGGTGCGATCGGAATGAATGCGGAATGAACGGGGACGAAGGTTGACAGCAATGCCTGTCTGTTTCAGGCAGGGCTCGCTGCCAGTGCCGCCGCAGGCGCTGATCATACCAGACAGAAGGCAGAAGGCCGCCTGTCCAACAGCGGCCGTTGTGGCTTCACCCCAGGGGCGACGCGCGCACCGAGTAAGCTTGTAGTATATGCTTCGTGGCGGGCTCTTTCTGGCCGTACCGAAAACGATATATTACAATACGGCTGTACAATATGTTCGGGTCGGACGCACGCTTCCGAGGAAGACACATAGTATGAGTATGTCTTTGTGCATCCCCGCGTGAGCTGATTCGTTTGCCTCCCTTTGCTATCCCCGCTTTCGTCCACACCGGGTCGCCGTCCAAGGTTTTGTCGCCCTCTTCAGCCTCCAACGAAAACAAGCGACACCACCCCACCAACGGCCCTCCAGTTGTTAAGTATAATGCAACCCCTAACCCTAGAAACATTCTGAGTTCGTGGCCCAGTTTAGGTCCTTGGTTTTGAGGGGTTCCCCTAAACATGGGGATGGTCTCGTCTGAGACATCCGGAACAAAGACCCCCTTTCTCCCTACTGCCTCTGGCCCTCCTAACCTTATGTCCCCTCCCAGAAGGACTAGGGGTGTTTTTATTGCTTATCATCCATGTTCCTCTACGGCCTATCGGGGGCCGTAGCGTTTACCACGCAGAAGCCCAAGCCAGAATCATGGTATATCCTGAGCCCCGTATGGCCGTCGGTGGGGTGGTGCTTTTCTCCTCGTTCGCTGGGCCTATCGAAAGATCTATCCCAGATGGAGGGACGGTCCCCGGGGAGGAGTCGGGACCTCGGGGGGGGGGCCACCTTGTGGGAGAATCACGAGGTCGGAGTCCCTCCTCCTCCTCCTCCTCCTCTTCCTCCTCTTCCTCCTCCTCCTCCTCCTCCTCCTCCTCCTCCTCCTCCTCCTCCTCCTCCCCCACTTCCAGTCTGTTCTACCTCACACGCTCCGAGGAGGAACTTTGGGCTATTTCAACAGGGTACCAGAGTACAGATGTGACAATACATGGAGCATCTCTCGGAACGACCGAGAAGTGAGCTGAGTGGGAGAGGGGAGCACGGAATTAAACCTGTAGAGGTAGCAGTCCCCCAACAACAGTTTGGGGTCTCGGCCTTCCGTCTCTCCCCTCTCCTTCTTTTGAGGTCGTGTCGTCGTCTCCTCCCCCCCGTTGGCTTGGGCGCCCTGCTAAGCCCGCGCGTCCCCTCCCCTTAGGGCACGCGGAAGGGCCAGTAGCTGTTCCCCCCCGCACTGACCCAAAGGGACTCGTGAAGGAAGGTAGCGAGCCTCTCTTACGGGGCCACCCCAAAGCTCGGTTCTTGAGCGACGGGGTCTGCCCCCTGCCGGCCCTAGTGAGAAGGCAGCGCTGTAGCACAACAAATCGCAGGGCATTTTGGCAATAGCGCGTAGATCGCCTGAGTAGGCGCTCTGACGGTATACCCCCTTTATGCGGATGTCCTGTCCTGTTCTCCTTCCCCTCCTCCTCCTCTTCCTCGTCCTCCTGCTCCTCGTCCTCCTGGCTCCTCCTCCTGGTTCGTACTCCTTCCTTCCTTTCGGAACTGCCTTAACGGAGGCAGGCCGCCGTGCTAGTCCTGGTCTTCTTTCTCTCTCTCTCTCTCTCTCCCGCATGCACATGGAGTAAGTAGGGAAGAGGAGAAGGATGAGGTGGAGGAGGAGAAGGCGCAGGAGGAGAAGGGAGAATAGAGGAGGGAGGAGGACGAACATAGGAATATTCATCAGCACGAGGACGGAGGCATGGAGGAGGAGGAGGAGGAGGAGGAGGAGGTGGAGGCGGAGGCGGAGGCGGAGACGGAGGCGGAGGCGGAGGAGGAGGAGGAGGAGGCGGAGGAGGAGGAGGAGGAAGAAGAAGAAGAGGAGGAGGAGGAGGAGGAGAGAGAGAGAGAGAGAGCGAGAGAGGGAGACAGAAAGAGCGACAGGGGAAGACGAAACACATGTTTTACATACACGTCGAAAGCCCCGCGATTCAGGAGGGGGGGCAGAGGGGGAGAAAACCCAGGCAATTCATTGCCAGGCACCCTGGCGGCCCTGACCCGCTCGGCCAGGCGCCCCGGCGGAGCGCCGCGCGCCGTGTCGCCTCGCCCCCGTCAGCGCGCGCTGGCGGCACCAGCAGTGTGGCCGCCGACCGCGGCGGCAGCTCGCGGGCCCAACCCAGTGCGTGCGCCTGCCAGGCGTGGCCGCCGAGCAGCGCGCGCCCGCGGCCACGCCGGGCGGCGGCGGCGCCACGCCGCCTCCACGGTTCCCTTGCCGCGGCGGGCGGCGCACTCTGGCAGCGGCTGGCGGTGGCGCGGGCCCGGGCGCCGCCGCCTGCGCGCCCTGCAGTCGCGGCGGGTGGCGGGGGTGAAGCCTCGGCGGACACGATAGGGGCGAATAGCCCAGGGGCGAGCATTACACGCATGCGCCCAGGAGGGAGACTCGCCGAAGGCAGACAATCGACGCCCGCGGCTACATGTATTACTCTCCCCTGGGCTATTCGCCCCCATCGTCGCCCCTCAGCCTGAACAGCCCCGCGGCAGTCCAGCGCCAGCGCACGCGCGGGCCAGCCTGCCCGCGGCTGCCGTGGTTGATTCTCCAAGCGGCGAGCTCCGCTGCAGCCAGCAGCTGCTGCGCCGCCGTATGGGGGGAGGGCCAAGCACACGCATTCTATATCCAGTGGCCGGTCCATGCCGCCATCGTGCCTGGGCTGTAGGTCAGAGCCCGCTTGGACGCCTGTGGGGATCTGGCGGGGCCTCTTGGAAGCCTTTTGGATGTGGTTTTGGGCCTGCTTGGGGTCTGTTGGGAGCTTGCTGGGGCTTGGGGGGGCGCGCACGGGGCCTGCTCGCGGTCTCGGGGGTCATCTTGGGGCGGAGGGCGAGGCATGGGCGACGAGGGGATGGGAGGAGAAAGAGGAGGACGCGCGTATGAGTTGGATGAGGAGGCGTGAGGGATGGAAGGATGCGGGGAGGACGAGGAGGGGGCGGACGAGGAAGGAAGGAGAAGTAGGAGGACGACGAGGAGGGAACAGGAAGAGGAGGGATGAATGTTCACAAGGAACGAGGCGGACACGGGCGGCGGACGCGGAGAGGGGAACAGGAGGGAGAGTGGAGGAGGAGGAGGAGGAGGAGGAGGAGGAAAAGGAGGAGGAAAAGGAGGAGGAGGAGGACGAGGAGGAGGAGGAGGCGGAGGAGGGGGAGGAGGAGGAGGAGGAGGAGGAGGAGGAGGAGGAGGAGGAGGAGGAGGAGGAGAGAAGAGGAGGGCGGGGGACGAGGGATGGAGGACGAACAACACAAGAGGAAGGATGATAAGCTGGAGGAGGAGGACGCAGCACGGATGACATGATAGGGGGAGGAACACAATGCTTCGGCGTCCCTCCCTTTGGGCAGCCCCCAGGCGTCCACTGGCAAAGTGGAGCGCCAGACTGTGCGGCCAGAGCACCTGCGTCAGGCCAGTGGCTTGCCTTATGCAGGGTGGAGAAGATGGTGAGGAGGATGAGGATGAATATCCCCGTGTGTCCGATCATGGGGAAGCGTCTCGTCCCGCCTCATATTCCTCGTGTTTCACCCTTCCCCCTCTTCCTTTTTCTTTCAGAGGGGGGAAGTTTGCGAGGAGAACGCAGAGGTTGAGTGGAGTAGGAGGAACCGGAGGAGGAGGAGGGATTGGGAGAAGGGACGGAGAGAGGAGGTGAGGATCGATGATTCCTCTCCTCCTCCTCCTCCTCCTCCTCCTCCTCCTCCTCCTCCAGCTCCTCCTCCTCCTCCTCCTCCTCCAGCTCCTCCTCCTCCTCCTCCTCCTCCTCCTCCTCCGTCATTACCATTCAAGGGAAGTGAAGGTGGCGTAGGCGGACGACCGAAATGAACTGACGCTGGTGACAGGCAGGCCGACTGCCGGCCCGAGGTCGGTGCACGCCTCGTGGGCCCAGCCAGGCCGGTGTTGCCGGGCGCGGGGAGCTGGAACTCACGGCAGCAGGGACGCAGCATCTCATCACCTGGCATCGCTCGGACCTGTGCATTTTTTTTTCGGCGAGGACCATCGAGAGCATTGATCATTTGGCGAAAAAAAAACACGCACGAAACCGAACAAAAACACAGGGAATGGACGTCCGAGCGATGGCCAGATCAGCGCTGCCCTTTCACCCTTGCCCGTGCAGCGCCTGTGCCTTGGGCCTGCCGCCTCCCCGTAGCCTTCTGCAGACGTGCCCAGCCCTGCCCCGCTCAGGAGGGGAAAAAAGCACAGACACAATTATTCGTCGATCCCCCAGAAAGTATGGGAAAATATGGGAAGTGGGGGGGAAGACAAGAACCCAGAAAATATGGGAAAAAGATTGGGAAATCATTTATTTGTGTGTATTCATTTGTGTGTCCCTGGGCCCCTTCACTGTAGCCTTCTGCAGACGTGCCCCGCCCTGCCCCGCGTCCTCGTGCCCGGCGCTCGTCTGTGCGCGTCCACCGCCGGGCCCCACATGGGCCCGGGCACGTTTTTGCGCACAGATCGTCGTCACGGGAGGGGCGGGCAGTGACCGATGCCGCTACTGTTCCCTCGTCAGCACGGCTGGATTGGCCCTGAAGACTCGGTCAGAACGCGTGCAAGAAGAGGGCCGTGGAGTAGAGGTATGGTCGATTGGACGTAAGAGTGACTTTTCGCCACAGTGACCTTTTGTGCGGGCCCATGGGGGCCCCCCGATCGCCGAACGCGATACGATAGTAGCGTCTTGCGCGATTGGATTTGGCCCCACCGCGGCCCCCCAAAAGCCGCGCACCAAAGGTCACTCTTACCCAGGGTCACTCTTGCGTGTAGCCGATATGGGTACCGTTTTGTTTCCCCAGTACCCATCTCCTTTCCTCACTCGCTCCCAGGGCCCGTGGTGGTACACTTTCGGCGTCTTCGTGCCAGCGAAGGGTGGGCGGCGAGTTTGGGCGAAAGTGGTTGGGCTGCCAGCGTGAAGTGCGCGCGCATCGCTCGTCGCTCGTCGCTGAGGCGGCGTTGTTTCGAGGGGGACCTGTCTGCACTCTGCGCATTCGGGGCCTGATGAGCTTTTCCTGCTTCTCACTCCTCTGCCCCCTCCGTCTCCTTCTCCTTCGACTTGCTGGCTTACTTCCTCCTCCTCCCCCCCTCCTTCGCCCCCACCCTCCTCCTCCCGCCCTCTCCCCAGAGAGGGCCTTGGATAGCACATGGGGCATTTTGAATTATCCAGGCCCGTGCGAATCTTGCCCTAGCTGCCGAGTTGTAGCCTCCAGCAAATCCAATTCCGAATCCTAGTTCTAATCCTCAGCCTCGCCGCCAGGTGCTCGGCATGTCAGACGAGGCGCTGGGGGGGGTGCAACGGGCCTGCGTCCAGTGACTCGGACCTGCCTCCCTCCCTCCTCCCAGGAGGAGGACGAGGATAACGACGGGGAGGAGAGGGAGATGGGGCGGGGAGGAGAGATGGAGGGGGAGACGGCAGAAGGGGGAGGTAGGAGGAGATTGATTGGCAGGGGGAGGAGAATGATGATGATGAGGAAGAAGAGGAGGTGGAGGAGGAGCAAGAGGAGTAGGAGCAAGAGGCCCAGGAGAAGAAGGAGGCCGGTGCGAAGCACTGGTGGGTCGCGCCGGCACCAGAGGAGGAGGAGGAGGAGGAGGAGGAGGAGGAGGGGGAGGAGGAGGAGGAGGAGGAGGAGGAGGAGGAAGAACGGGGGTAGGAGGAGAAGGATGGATTAGGGAAATATGAGGCAAGAGTGGACGGGAGGGAGCAAGGACGGACTAGCTGTGGCTGGCGGAGCATTGCGCTCCTTGGTCGAAGCGCTGTGCTCAAGTCCTGCGGATCCCCTTGCGCTGCCGCGCGAACCCACCCCCGCGCCCTGGCATGCGTACAGTCGGACCGAGATGTAAGACCGCGGCCGGTTCTGGGAGGGTGCCCTCGTGCTCTTCGCTGTTTGTTTTTGATGCTCTTCTGCATCCTTAGGAGGGTACCCTTGGATGTTATATTTGTTTTGGCCGACGGAAGGTATCACTTTCTTGAGGGACGTTCCTCTGGCCTGGGTCCGACTCTGGCGGGGGAGCGGGTCGGGGGTGAGTCGCCCCGAGGGAGAAGCTGCCGCTCTCGGTGCCGCTTCCCGCCCGCGAAGACGCGGCCCAAACAGCAGAACGCTTGCTGGGCTCGGCGTGTCAATGGGGCCCCAGCCATCGCTTCGCAAGACGAGGGCCCCTCCCCCCCCACACGCCAACTGCTGCCAGCGCAGTGGGGGATTCCACGTCCGGTTACCAGGCTGGGCTCGTCAGACTTGATTTTTGCGTCGCAGTTTGCTGGCACGGGCGGGAGGACTTGTTCTTCTTTGCCTCCCGCCGGTTGTCTCCTCCTTTCGCCTTGCCCGCCCCACGACCGTCGAACGCCTGACCCTCACATCCTTGCCCTCCGCCAGCACTCATCCCCTCTGTCTACTGCTTCGGACTGTCCGCGACCTCGGAGCAGAGCTCCCCGTCCTCTCTAATTCTTTGCTCTCTCCGCTGTCTCTCTGCCTCTACTCTTTTCTGTTGTTCTCTCTCTCTCTCTTTCTCTCCCTCTGTGTGCCTGTGTCCGTCTCTCTCCCTCTCCGTCTCTCTCTCTATCTCCTCGTTCTCTCTCTCTCTCTCTCTCCTCTTTTTTTTGTTTTCTATCTCTCTCTCTCTCTCTCTCTTTCTTTCTCCCTCTCCTCGATTCATTTGTACTCCTCTATAATGAGATGGGTGTACGCGTAATCAGCCATATGTCTGTATCCGACCTTGTCTGACACGCCCATCCCCCGTGAGAATTGCAGCCTTCGCAATGCGCAGGACGATCGACTCTCGAGCTGATTCGGCACCCTGAGGGTGTCCGCGGGCAGCGTTCCATCTGCTGCACGTTGTGAGACCGCTTGGCATCGCTCGGACGTGTGCATTTTTTCTCGGCGAGAACCATCGAGGACCGTCCTGGACCATCGAGCAAAAAAAAACACGCACGAAAACGAAACATGCAGGGGAAATGGACGCCCGAGCGACGGCAAGACCGACGGTACCCGCAGCACACGCAGCGGGAAGCAGCGCTCGCATCCACGAGGCAGGGCCCCCCTAGGGGGAGCCCAGAGACTGCGTGCAAAGGCGCCCAGGACCCCCCTTTTGCCTCCAGGGCCCGCCCCCCTCGTGCCGCTCCATGGTGGAAGGCTCGTGGAGAAGGCTTCTTGGAGTAGCCCGGATACCCACTTTGAGGACATGTGAGCTGTTTTGACCACCTTCCTCTCCTTGTCACTTGCTGCTCTCGGAGACTCTCGAGTTTGCCGCTACAGTGCCTCGCAACTGCTCGTGCCCGTATCCGCGTGTTCTCGTGCGGTGTGGTGATAGCCCCCTTGAGAGGAAGCGGATTCAATGTGGGAGCTGTAACTGGTGGGTGTTTGCGCTGAGAATATATATATATATATATATATATATATATGTATATGGATGCGTCGCTTCCTCCACTCCGGCAACTACAACGAGTGAGCCTTCTGGCGCTCCGGCGGCCCCGCTGGGCTCTCATAGGGCCGTCCCTCCAGGGCGTTTTCCGGCGCTCTCTCTCTCTCTCTCCCCCTCGTGCCGCTCCCCCGAGATCTGGCGTCGCAAACGGTTGCAGCATATCGAAGGATCACGACCGGAACCCTAGAGGAAGTCGAGGACCAGAGAGTTCAACCAAGCAGCCCTGGACATCTGTTGCGAGGTAGATTTGCCGACATTGTCAATCGATATGAGTTGGACGAGCCAGGCCATCTTGGAGCTTGCCCAAGCGGCATAACGAGAACACAAACGCCAAGAATTAGCTGTTTCATACTCCCTCTTTCTGCGCCATGTTCAAAGCCAGGTCGATCTGTGAGGGTCCCTAGGCCCGAAACAGGGCAGCATCGTTCAAGGGCGGGCAAGAGTGGAGTGATGACCAGAGGGGGAGTGGATGTCATGGCCGGGGCCACGATGTCTCCCCAGATTTCATGGCGCCTCGTCTTCCAACGCGTCCCCTGCTCCCCCCTGGGCCATGATTTGCGAGAGCCCCCCTCCTGGACACCTTCTCCTGTGCGCCCCCGAACCGCCTGTTGCGAGAAAGATTGCGACGCCAGGATCGGAGGGTCCGCAGGGGCGGCGTCCCCTCTGTTGGGGGCACCTGGCCGCCCTGGGCCGCAGTGTCGGCCAACAGCCCCAGAGGACGCGCACGTGCGCGCCCGGCGCCGCCCCGAGGCCTGCCAGGCCGTGGCCCACGCGGGCATGGGCTGCTTCATGCGGACGCTCCAGGGAGGGTCGGGGGTGGGCAGACCCCCCACCCTGACACGTCGATTCGTGAATTGTCCGTTTTCGATTCTCGAGAGGACGCCGCGGCCGTCATTTTCCAGGCTAGCGCCCGCCAGGTTTGGGCCCGAGGTCGTTTTCACTAAAACAAGGTTTACTAAAGGGGGTTCTGTCCATCCCCGAGTGGGGTGTGGGCCCTCAGATCCGGGCGTTGAAATTTTTCGCACCAGGCCTATGTCGGGCCTGTCCCTCTGCAGGGGGAATATTCAAAAATAGTTATGAAAATAGTCTGGGCGCGATTTCTCGACTAGATATGACTGTTTTTGAACATGTTTTGGCACACTTTCATTTTTCGTCCAAAGTCCGCGCGTAGAGGGACACGCCCGACCTAACACCGGGCGTTTTCGCTTGGTCCATGGTCCTGGGACCACCACAGGTCGATCCGTCTCGACAGTTGCCGCAGGAAGATGGGGTCCGGGGCTCCAGTCGTGATCCTCGCGATGCTGCAATTTTCTTGTGTGCAGCGTCGGGTCTGAGGGGGTAACGGGGGGGGCGAGGGGTGGGAGGAAGGGCGGGAGGGCTGGCGCCTCACGGTGAGGCTGGGTGGCTCAGACCCGTGCCGCACCCCCGTCTCCTCCGCCCTCGAGCTCTCTGCCTGATCTCTCCTCCCCCCGTCCTCCCCTCCCAGTCCGAGCCTGACGAGTGTTTCGAGCCGCGTCCAGCCGTGGGGACGCGGAGGCCCCCTTCTCCTCCCGTCTCTGCTGGCCGGAGCCAGCGCCGGGCCACCTCGGTCCCCCAGCCGGCTGCGGCCTCCCTCCCTCCCTCGCTGCCTCGGCCTGGGGGCAGCCCGACGGCTCCCCACACCCCCGGCTTGGGATGGGCCCCCGGGCATTGGGCTCGCGATCCGCCACGCGCGCGGAGGAGGAGAGGAACGATTTTGACGAATCTGCCCTCGTCCCTCCCCTCTTGAGCGATCCTCCCAGGGCCCACCCAGCGCAGACCCCCCGGCCGCTTCCAAGAGTTGGGTGGCGAGATCTACACGTATCCTCCGCCCCTGGCCAGGCCCATCCTGGACCAAGGAGCAGTGTATATGCCTCCCTGGGAGATCCTGCGGGATTCAGAGTCGTAAACTTCACCGCCGGGGTGTAGCAGCACGCGGGCGGCGTGGGACGACGACGACGACGACGTTGAGCCCAGAGGAGGGAGTTGACGGCCTCCGTCTCATCGCCACGGAGACCCGAGAGGCGCCAACGATGCTGCACGACTCCCGCAGGCAGAAGCACACACAAAGCAAGCAGAAGGCATCAAACAGCGGGAACCGAGCAAACAACATTCAGGAGGGGAAAAAGCACACAGACACAATTAATCGTCGATTCCCAGGAAAATATAGGAAAATATGGGAAGTGGGGGGGAAGACAAAAACCTAGAAAATATGGGAAAATATGGGGAATATTGTTATCTGTGTGTATTGATTTGTGTGTCCTGGGGCCCCTTCAGACATAGCAGGCTTCTCCGGCGTCCCAGGCCCCCTCCCCACACGCCTTCCTTCTCGCTGCAGGGTGCGCCGCTCTCGAGGAGCAGCACTCCGTGGGCCTGCCGCTCCGGCGAGGGCCCGTGGAGGCAGAGGGAAGGGGCTGTGCTGCAGCCTCCCCTGGCGGGCCGCAGCGAGCACGGCACGGTGGGGACCCGTGCCAAGAGACGCCCTGCTCGCCTCCAGGAGGACGGAGAGCGAGGAGTAACGAGGACGTCGACGAGGAGAAGGAGGAGGAGGAGGAGGAGGAGGAGGAGGAGCGAGGAGCGAGGAGCGAGGAGCGAGGAGCGAGGAGCGAGGAGCGAGGAGGAGGAGGAGGCGAATGGAGGTGGTGGGGGACGAGGCGGGGTTTCTTGGGTTTCGTTGGCTTCGCTATGGGACGCGTGACGTTCCCGCGCCAAAAACCAGTGGGCGCCCTGGGGTCTCGGGGCTGGGTTTCTTGCGGAAGGGTTCGTGCGGTGGGGCCTCCACTGTAAGGTATGATCATTCCTGCCAGCGAAGTGTCCAGCGACTCTCCCGCTTTGAAAGAGGGCACCCCGCCACCGGTGCAAGCGCTACACAAGCTGGCACTCTGGTCCTGAACGTCGAGGGACTCGCTTCGAGCGAGAGCCCTGCGTTGCAAAAGAAGCGCTGCAAGCCGTGCAGCTTTTGTATGTGTTTGCTCGGGAATGTTGTCTGCGGTGTTGGAGCACCGCCGTCCTTGCAGCATCGGTCCATTGACACGATGGCTAAAGTTTTTCCGGCTATGCAAGTTGCCCGCGCCACGATCCTGGAGCTCGCGCGCGGGATCAGCACCGGGGCGGCCCTGTGGGGCGCGACCCATCCGTGCCCGACCTGCGCCCCTGTCGTGCACTGCCCAGCGGTGCCCGCCTCGACGTGCGTCTGCCAGACGCCCTCTCCGCTGGCGGTGGCTGGCGGCGCGGCGCTGGTGGCGCTGCTCATCGTCGGCGCCTACCTGCTGGGCGCGCTGTGGGGGCTGCCGACCCGCGAGGTGCGGGTAGGGCGCGCGCCCGTGCCGCAGGTGGCGGCGCCGGACGACGCGACGTCGCTGAGGCACCGACTGCTACGCGGTGACGCCCGACCAGGATCAGCACGAGGAGACCTACGCGGTGGGCTTGGACTTCGAGAGCGTGCACATCTTGTCGCACGCGCTGGAGGTTCCTGCAGGTGTGGTGGCGGCGCAGATATATGGCTTCAGGGCCGCGCCAGCTCAGGCCGTCGTCGACGCGTACGCGATGCTGGGGGCCCACACGCTAGGCGCGCCGTGCGCGCCGCTCCCGCTCGTCGCGCACTACAACCCGCCCGGCGCGGCAGCAGGGGCGGCAGCAGCAGGTGGCGGAGCCGCGGCGGCAGCCGCCGCGCCCGCGGCCGTGGCGGCGGGAGCTGCGGTTCCCGCCGGGGGGGCAGCGCCGGCCCCTGGGGCAGGAGCGCTCGTGCCCCCCGGCCGCGTGGCCGCCGCCGGTGCCGACGGCGCCGTCGCGGGCGCCGCGCTCGGCATCCCGCCCGGGCTGGGCGGCGGTGCCGCCGCAGCCGCCGCTGCGCCTGCAGGTGCGCTTGTGCCGCCGCCTGGCAACAGCTGGTACGCGGTGGAGGATCGCGCAGGCTACTCGATCGGGGACCTCGTCTGCCACCAGCTCCCAGTTGGCGCCCTCGGCCTTGGAAATCGTGCTATCGTCCAAGCGGCTGGGGCATCCGCCCCGGTGGCGCAGCTCACAGCCGCCGACGCGCTGGTGTTGGCGAAGGGCGATGCCCGCACGATGGCAGTGAAGCACGATGTGCAAGGTGAGCGCCGTCGCACGTGGGACGATGCGGTGGCCAGCTCGTCTGAGGAGCCGATCCCTGGTGGCTGGGACTTGCAGGGCCCGAGGACGGTCCTCTGGTTCATGCAGCACGCGAGGGACAACGGGAACAGCGCCTTCCACGCCCACGAGAACTGGGTCCGCCTCTCGAAGGCGCCGTCGGGCGACAGGAGCGTCTGCGAGCATGAGGTGCTCAGCAGGATGTTCGACGCGGCGGCGATGCACGACCAGCTGAACTGCCCGCCGTTGCTCGCGTTCGAACTCATGTCGAGGAGGCTCGCCTTGATAAAGGAGGCCCGCAGAGTCTCGCCGAGCCAGCCCGACTACACGGCCGTCGATCAGTTCATGGGCTGGAGCCGTCGTTCAGGAGGCGCGGCGATTTCGCCGGGCCTGTCGGCCCACGTCGCGGACCAGCTCAAGCAAGAGGCAGCGATCATGAAGGAGGCTCGCAAGGCGAGGGGGGGGGCCGTCGCGCGCGGCAAGGGTCGCGGCAGAGGAAATGGCCAGCCGCCTGCCGGAGGCGGCGGGGGCCAATGACGCGCCGCGGGCCGAGGGGGCGGCGATTGGGCCCGCCGGCCCCCCTTGCTCGCCATCCCAGCTATCCCTTGCCGACTCAGGGTAGCGAGGGGAGGCGCGTGCCCAGGGGGCTCTTCCCGCTCCCGATTTTTTGAGGAGGCGACGCCGGACGCCCCGCATCTCTCCCACTCCATTCGCCAGCGCCTACGGCATCGGCACGCCAAGGGAGTCAGGGCCAATGAGTGCATCGAGGCCTTGAACGAGCTCTACGGCATGCCATCTTCCTCGGTGCTGGCACCGCCAACGGCGGACAGGAGCGCGGCCCAAGCAGCGGCTCAGCGCACAGTTCTGAGGCATGTGGATCCCGCTCGAGTGCCTTCTTTTTCGCAGCAACGAGAAGCCGTCCGCGAGCTTCTCGGCGCCGACCTCGTCTACGACAGTGGGGAGGTTCCAAGTGCTGTGGCCAGATATGACGCCACGCGGATCGCGGTTCCGGAGGAGTTGGAGCAGCCCCCAGCCGCACTTGATGTTCTCGATCCCGAGGGGGCGCGTTGCCTGAGGGAGTTCCGAGCGCGCACGGTGCTATCTGAGGATGAGTTCGGCCAGCGTCGTGAGAGCGAGGCCCCTGTGATTCCCTACATGGACCCGACGCTGGCCGCAGATGTGCACAGGTATGCTGACTTCGTGGCGCGACTGGACCGCGCGAGCATGCTGAGGTACTCGACGAACGCTCAGGACCTCATCTTGGAATCCACTGCCCCTCTGTTATGAGGCCGTTGTATAGGAGAGGGAACAGAGGACAGAGTGTTTACACAGCTTTGAGGAATTGGTGAATTCAGCATGGGTCCGGCTTGAAGTGCCTCGAAGAAAGCGCGCGCACCCGAGTCGCAGACATATGGCTATATGCGGGCCCGGGACACTTGCTTCCCGTCGTCGTCCACGCCCTTGCTCCGTTTCCCTGCCTTTCTTCCCTCCCCTGGATGGTGTCGAAAGCGCCCGCGGCTCGGGCGGGGGAGCGCCCCTTCCCACCTGCCTTATTTTTCCTCGTTCCTCTTTGCCTCCCTGCTCCACCGTCCGTAGTTCTACCTCGCCCGCCCTCCTCGTTCGAAAAATGAAGTCCCTGGTGCCGCGTGCCCGCGTCAGCGGTAAA